CTCTCCGGCCCCTGTTGTGCCTCTGATTAGTTGGCTTGGCAATGGCAGGGCAGCAGATGGCTTCTCCTTGCGCTCAGCACTTTCCTCTCCTGGCTGTTTGGTACCCTCCGCCGACCTGGCCAGATCAGAAAGTACGCAGCCTTGGGGGCCAGGCCACAGCCGAGGCACACCTCTTTCTCTGTTGTCGTCCCCCTCCCCCCGGCAATGGGTTGTGCCCCCGGCTGAGGCTGGCACATGTCCTGTGATTTCTGCTTGAACTGGCCTGGCAGAGTGGCCAAGCTAATCTGACTTGACAGCTCCTGTCTGTGGAGCACCTTGGGCCTGGAGAGGAGATGCCCGCTAGGAAGTGTACCTCCCTCTTGCCATCTCCTCCAAGGCCTCCAAGGGACCTCCCAGGTTCTCTTGCCGCAGAGGGTCTGCTCTGGGGTCTCCATCTCTTAGGGTTGGGGTGGAGCTGTTGTATTCCTTTCCCTGCCTGGAATTTGCCACCATGGCACTAGTTTAGATGCCATCTAGACCATGCAGCCTGATGCTACTCATGTCACACCTCTGGACCAGACCCCTCTCTCCTGAACCCCACACTCTGTGAAGATGGACAGTGAAGCACCCCAAACTCCATATGTCCAGATTCCCATCTCCACTGATAGCTGCTCTATGACCCCAAACCTTCTAGCTGTACCTGACTCCCTCCTTTCCCTCACATCCTATGCCTCATCTCTTGGTCCCACCTTCCCAGTATCTTCAGAATCCTCCCTGTGTCCTTACACCATTCTATGCCATCTACTCCTGGCACTGCTGTCCTTTAGCTTATCACAATGGTGGGCAAGCAATGGCCAGGCAGGGACAGGCAGAACACACAGGGGCAGAGGGATTAGATGCCCAGTGGCAAAGTACTGACAAGCCATGAAGGAGGCTTAGAGTGGCTGGGGCAACCTCAACTGTGAGGCTGAGGACAGGGAGTCCATTCCTCTTGGGTCCCACCACAGCCATTATGTGGCCACCATTGCCCTCCTGGTCACAGAACCCAGGAGCCTGTCCTCTATATAAAGATATGGGCTCATGTAATGGGGCGCTCGCTGGGCATTGGCACAGGGGACCTCTTCTGCCCTGGCCTGCTCTGTTCTCCAGACCTTTGTCTGCTCCTGCTGCCTGAAGTTCGCCAGTGCAGACATGCCTCCTCGCTTCCTTTTCTACTTTGCTCGGAGTAATCTTGCTTTTCTGGTCCCTATTTCATACCCAGAAGCCCCCTGATCCTGACTAGCAGTCCCACCCTTTTCCTGGTTCACAGATCTTCACAGTTAGTGCCCCTGGACAAACGGACAGATTTACATATGTATCAGGCTTGAGAATGAGTGTGCTTCATGGGGCAGGGAGCTCTTTTAATTTCATTTAATTAATTAGTTAATTAACTTTTGAGACAGGGTTTTCCTCTGTAGCTCAAGCTGGCCTCTAACTTGAGGCCATCCTTCCCCCTCTTCTACCCAAAGTAGAGGAATTACAACTATTCTTACCACACCTGGCCTCATCTGGTTTGATTTTTTTTTTATTTAAGCTGATGAATCCCTGGGGCTCAGAGCAATGTATGGTGGTGGCAGGTTTCTTGTTAGTAACTGTGGAGGGGGGAACATCCATTTACCTATCACTCTATCTTTCTTTAAACATTTATTTTTGTCTGTATGGGTGTTTTGCCTGCATGTATGTCTGTGCACTGTGTGTGTGTGTGTGTGCCAGATGCCTATAAAGGCCAGGAGTGGGTATCAGATCCCCTGGAACTTGAGTTACAGATGATTGTGAGCTGTTGTGTGGGTGCTGGGAATCAAACCTCATCCTCTGGAAGAGCACTCGGTGCTTTTGACTGCTGAGCCATCTCTCCAGCCCCCCACCATCAGTTGCTCATTTTCTGAGCTGTTGCTCTGGGCAGGACCCAGGCAGGACTGGGGAGTGTGTGCCTTGCATCCAGGCAGACTTGCCTGGGTCCAGAGCTAGATTCAGAGCAGTGTAGCCCTGAACCTATGGAAGTCGCTTAGGGTAGCAAGTGCTGTGACTGAGGAAGAATGGGCTCATGTCAGACACTAGCCCATTCTCAGGGACCAGAAGAGGAGACCCCCAGGACAGAGAGAACCAAGGGAGTAAGATGCCCCTCTGAGTATGTGCTGGCCAGGAGGGAAGCAGGAAGCTGGGGTCTACAGTGGCATGAGCCAGGCCTGCTTCGGGGAGTGGACCCAGGGCTGTCCTTAGAGGACCATTTGGAATGGGCTATGGGCCGAGTTGAAGAAGAAGATGTGTGTGTGTGTGTGTGTGTGTGTGTGTGTGTGTGTACATAAGCTCTTGAGTCAAATACACGTGCATACATGGGTACTGCCTGCCTATAAATAAGGCTACGACAACCATTGTGGTCCCAGAGGAGTATGACTTGCTACCAATTTGGGACTAAGACCACTTCATCTGGTCTGTGCTGGGTGCCACCAGGAATGTGTCTATATCAGATGTCCTGTGTCCTCTGTCTCTTATTGGCTGGGGAACAGGTCCTTAGCTACACTCTTGGGACCACTGACAGCCTGTTTCCATCAAGGGCCACTGGGCTTCTAACCCAGGCTGACTACACCCAAAATAAGCCCAGACTAAGAGAGGGAAAATGTGATGGGGGCAGCGGAACTAGAGGATGGGTACTTTTTTGACTGGGTATGGTGAGAACCCAGGAAGGCTGCTTGGAGGAGGAACAAGAGCATGTAGAGAGAGAAGTCTGAAGATGGCTCTATCTCCCATGTATCTACCCTTCCCTCTGTCCCTCTCTCCCGAGTCTTCTTACCCATGTCCCCCCTCTCTGTCTTCATTTCTTTCTACTGCTTTGTCTATGCCTTTCTTTTTTGCTTCTTCCCACCTCTTCTTTCTCATGTGACTGGCATCAGGGCATTGGAGGAAGACCATCAGTGTCCTACCGGTCTTGGCTACTTCCTACACCAAGTATGTAAAAGAAGGCTTAGCCAGGCTCCTCAGGGCCTTGCCTGACTCCTAATCCTGTGGTCCCAATTCCCTGAGCAGTCATGGATAAATTCAATTTGTGCTAAATTCCTAATTACCTAATTACACCTTGCCTCTGTGGCCCCAAGACTCCCCAGGCCCTAGGGAACCCTGTGAGAGGAGCTGAGCCCCTGGGCAGGGGAAACAGGGAAAGGGCTACTGTTCAGGAAAAGTAACTGGCAGCTCAGAATTTCAATATCCTGGAGAACAAGGGAAATGTAATTAATTGAGCAACAAAGGCCACCCTTGGGAGTAGCCAGGAGCAGCCAAGAGTAGTCAGGCTGGCTCAGTGCTAGTTAGTGAGTCGAGGGTGGGTGTGCAGAGTGAGAGGAGCCTGCAGCTTCCTCAGGGTCGTTCTGGTCCAGGTTTCTCTCCATCCGCCACTCCCTCTGTGTGGTCTCCAGGACTGTACTTCGCAGAGCCCAGAGGCACTCAAGGGCTGTGCCTGCTCAGAGATCTGCTGGTGACAGTGACACAGGCCTTTGACTAGTCATCTACACAACTTCCCTGCAACTCCTTAGACCCTTCTACAGTCACCCCTGACCTTTCTCCAGGCAGCTATGTGTACTCACAGGCTACACTTCCCTTCAACCCCTCTGTCAGATTCTTCACATCCTGTAGGGCCCAGCTCCACCTCATCCTCCCTACAAATGCATCCTTGGAAGTGGTCCTTTTGCTCAACACTGTTGTCCCTGGCCCCTGCTGCTGGGCTGTGAGCTCTGAGGGGAATTCTCAGCATTGTGCTGGCAATCTACTGCTTGATGTATGCATGCAAGCATGCATACATGAATGAATGGTTGCAGTCCCAGAAAGGCCTGCAGTTGGCTAACTTAAGTCCTTTGGTCCATTTTGGAGAGCATGTGGGGACCTGTTTTGTTTCCTTTTCTCCCCCAGTGTATACCCTTTTTCCCATGTTGGGGGGAGGATATAAAACAGTGGGGTGCTGAGCCTTGGCCCTGCTGGATGACGCAGTCTACCAGGGAGCCCCATTGCTTTTCTTGAGTGGACGCTGACCTAGTTTTGTGAGGAGGGAAGATGGGGGTGGACATTAATTATTGATTGGAAATCACTCCATGCTGAATTCGTGATGCAAATCCATGATAATTATCCTCATTAATAACCACTCAGCATCACACTGGGATACATCAAAATCCAACAGGACCAACTCTCCTACTTGTCATCATTCTTCACTCCTCCCCTCTCCAACCTTCCACTCTTTTCTAGTCTTGTTCACAAGCAGTCATCCAACAAACATTGATGAAGCCTATCTTCTGGGTTAGGCCCTGATGGCTTCTGGGAATATTGAGGTGACTCAGACATAGACCCTGTCCCCAGGAACATACAGCCCAGTAAACAGAACAGGAAGGTAAACAGATAAATAGTCATTAGGGTTAGATGTTATTGCAAATAAGACCTCTTAGGATTGTGTAACATGCAAACTGTAACTGTACAAAGCAGCCTAGACTAGAAGCTGCTGAGATTTCCTGGAGCAGGGCAATGATGGCTTGGGTGAGAAAACATCTGGACAGCTCCACAGCATGAGATGTCACAGGGATGTCTGTGGCAGATGAATAGGTGTTTGTTGGGTGTTTCAAGAAGAGCAAGCAGCAGGGGTAAAAGGATTGGTCATAGGAAAAGGGTTAGACTCACTATCAGGCAATGGTTTAAACTCACATCTTTCTGCTTCTCCGCTGTGGGACTCCAGTCAGTTCTTTGAATCTCCTGTATAAAACAGATAACATTGCCAGCCTTGTGCATCACTATGAAGGATGAAGGACAGCCTATCTGTGTACGTCCCCAGAACACTTGTCACCTAAAAAAAAGCTTCCGTAAAGGTCTGATCCTTCACTCATGATCTTATGGAAGTGCATCAGGGCCCAGAGCCATTTTCTTGGCATCTCTCCTCCAGCCACCCCTCAGCTTTTTGACCTGCTCCTTTTGCTTTTCTGATGCCACCTTTTCTGCCATTCTTCTCTCAGGCATGCGGATCCTGGTGAACCTACTGCTCGACACACTGCCCATGCTGGGAAATGTGCTCCTGCTCTGTTTCTTTGTCTTCTTCATCTTCGGCATCATTGGCGTGCAGCTCTGGGCAGGCTTGCTGCGGAACCGCTGCTTCCTGGAGGAGAACTTCACCATGTGAGTTCCCTACCTCATCTTTTTTATGTGGAAGGTTTATTGGGGAAGGTAAAGGAACAAGGAAAGAGAAGAGAAAGAGATAGATAGAGACAGAGTGACAGAAAGCTGCCTCCTCAGAGAAGAGAGAAGACTCCTTACCCCATCTTAATTAGACTTTCTATTGCTTTGATAAAACACTGGGAGCAGAAGCACCTTGGGGAGGAAAGGGTTTATTTCATCTTACAGCTCATAGTCCATCATTCAGAGAATTCAGGGCAGAAACTCAAGTAGGGCAGGAACCTCATGCAGGAGCTGATGTAGAGTCAATGAGGGGTGCTGCTAACTGGTGTTCCCCAGGGCTTGATCAGACAGCTTTCTTATAGCACCCAGGACCACCTTCCCAGGAGTGGTAATGTCCACAGTGAACTGAGTACTCCACATTAATCATCAATAGAAAACGCCCTACAGATTTGCCGACAGGTCAATCCAATGGAAGCATTTTCTCTTTAAGATTCCCTCTTCTCAGAAGACCCTAGCTTGTGTCAAGGTGATAAAAAAACTATCTATCCCCATCCCCAACCTGCCCTGTTCCTGCTGACTCCAACCTGCCTCTTGCTAACTCATTTGCTAACTGAGAATCAGGCCAACAAAGTAAGAATGGTCAATTTGGGAAGGCTGGAGAGGAAGAGGGAGGGAGGTATGGACACTGGAAGAAGAGAAAGTTCCAGAACCTAGGTGTGTGTGTGTGTGTGTGTGTGTGTGTGTGTGTGTGTGTGATCACAGGATCAGCTGACATCCTGCTGCTGGATCTAAAGCAGGAGCCAGGTGCCCCTCAAGGTGGAATGTCAAGGTCTGCTTAAAAGATGGGTTTAATTTTTGAAAATGATGTTTGGCCATCAAGGCTGAGTGCCTCTTCTTGATGTGGTGGCATAGGGACACTGCCTGAATTGGGATGAGTCTCTTTCAGGGTTTGGAACACTAGGTTCAATGTGGTGTAATGGGAGGTGAAAGTTTCGTAGGGACTAGCTTACCTCCCCATTGCTATGCTGTGGGAAGCAGTTTGGGGTATCTGGGTGGGCCAGGAAGGGACACCTTGTTGGATGAGGGCCCCATGGATAGTGAAAAAGGGGCTTTTACACTTACCTGGGTGCTCAGCAGGGGTCAGTCCTGAGTAGTCAGGGGCAGGCGAGGGAAAGGCCTTCAAAGAATAGTGTGTGTGTGAGCTCTTGGCTTTGAGGGTTCCCAGAATGTCAGTGCCCCTTTAGCACCATATGGATCTTCCTAATAGCATTCTGTGACTGGCCCTGTCTCACTATCTAGGCTCAGCCTTCGTGTCACTTTCTGCCAGAGGATTGCTATTTCTTCCCCAAGCAATGGATGCACTATCTGCTAAACTTCCTTGTTGGCTGATCTTCTCCTGCAGTGATCCCATTTATCAGCATGAGTATTTGGGGGTGGTCTCTGGAGCAGTTGCATACTTGGTCTTGGGGAGACCCTAGGATGTGAGTTCTCCCCTATAACCAGGAATATTTGTTCCTCACTGTTTTCTCAAGACCTGGAACAGGGCTCTAATCTGTTCACTATGAATGAATGAGAGAATGAATGAATGGGAGAATGAATGAATAAGGGGCTAATAAAGATGACAGTGTGAATGAGATCATGAATGAAGAGATGAGTGAATGGGAGAGTGAATGAATGAATGACAGTATTGCAGAAGCAGGTTGGGAAGAAGGCTGGTTCTCCTTGGCTTTGCAGAAGGAGGAGTCCGTGTGCTGGTTGGAGGTTGGCTGCTCCCTTGTGCTGTCCAGACCCCGAGAGGTGGCTCCAGCCCTGCCTTGGCTGTGATGAGGGAAGATGGGGGCACAGTGCTATGGACATGCCTGGGCCTCAGTGTTAAAGAGGAATTTCCTCACCCGGAAGAGGAATTCCAAATGTGAGAGGAGCAAGAGAGCTTTAGAGACAAGACCTAGTTGGCAAGGCTGGGTGACTCCTAAGCTCTGAGGTCCATGCTCAGGGCAAGTGGCCTCACAGTGTGTGTGTGTGTGTGTGTGTGTGTGTGTGTGTGTGTGTGTGCGCGCGCGCGCGCGCGCGTGCGTGCGCGCGCTCATTGTTCATTTATTGGGAAGGTTCTGGAATGGCACCTGAAATCAAGGGTGTGTGTGATTGATCACTGAGTGGCAGGGTGGGTCTGAATCTGGTCCTGGAGAAAGACAGCTGGTTTTCATAGGGTGCTTAGCACACGCTGGGTATTATGCACAGCAGGACCAATTCAGTTACCTTCCAACATCCTCTGGGGGAAGCATATTACCCCTATTTGTTGGCTTGTGTGAATGTGTATATGTGCCAGTGCATATGTGTGTGCATATGTATAGAGGCCAGAGGCCAATGTTTGGGGGTCTTCCTTGATTGTGCTCCTCTTTATTTTTGAGACATGGTCTCTCACTGAAACTAGAACTGATGGATTTGGCTGGACTGGCTGGTTAGCAGGCTCCAGGGGCCCTCACGTCTGTGCCTTCCTAGTTCTGGGTTATAGGCACATATCACCATGACTAGTTTTGATGTAGGTGCTGGGGGTCTGAACTCAGGTCCTTATGTAATGCGAGGCAAGCACTTGACCAACTAAGGATGGCAGCAGCAGGGCCCTGAGAACCCCACGAGAGTGGAGGGAGGGTTAGGGATAGGCATGTGTGGGAACGGGGCTGAGCTGTCCATGTTGTAGGGAGTAACCCTGTTTAGAGGTACTGCTGACCACACCTGCTTCGGGCTGGCCACAGGTGCCACTGAATCTTGGGCACTTTGGTCCTGGGCTTCTTACCTTCTTTGTTTAAAGGCTTTCTCAGTGGGGTAGAATTTGAACCCATGGGTGGGTTGTGACCTTCAGTGAGGTTTATCCCCCTGCCGCATCGGCGCCCGGGGAACCTTTCACCTTTCCCTTCCAACCCCACTTCTGGTACCAGTTAATGCTGAATGCAATGGAGTCAGAACTAGATTGACAACAGGTAGTTTATTAAAGGGATAGTACTCACGCAAGGGCCAGTGACCAGATTTACACTGGAGCCGGAGCGACCTGTAGATGTCCGCTTAGCCAGGCGGGAGAGAGAAAAGAGGGCGGCATGCGTGCCTCTCTGCTACTTAAACCCTTGCTACATCACTTGGGCGTGGTCAGTGGCACCTGTGGCCAGCCCCAAGCAGGCGTGGTCCTCACAGCTGCCCTGGGGTTTCTATGTTCATGGAGTAGGGCTGGCAGAAGAACCACAGGGTTGGTAGGAGGGTCTCCAGTAGTGACAGGTGGTCATCAGCTACCAGATGGGGAGAGCTCATCACCCAAAACTGACTGCACTGACCCTTGGGTCCCAGATCTCCTGAGGCTGTCCGTTCATCATTTGTGGCGCCAGAGACGCCACTTCCCATCTGGTTTGACATCCACAGCTAACTGGAAACCTCTAAGAATTGAAACTTTAAGATGTCTGTAGGTTTGTAGGAGTTATTAAATCCAAAAAAGACCAGATTGAAACAAAAACTTTGCAATACACGCATCCACCAGAGAACTCAAATCCAGAACATATAAAGAATGACTGTACATCAATAAGAAAGCCAAAGATGCTTTAATTAAAAATGGTCCAAAAGGCCTTACCAGAGACCTCTCAAGGGGATACAGGAGTGGTGGATGAGTATTTGAAGAAGCCCTTATCCTTCTAGGTCTTAAGGGAGTTGTAATTGAAATGGCAGTGAGGTACCATGGCATCCCACCAGGATGGTTTAAATTAGAAGGACCATTATCGCCACAGACACAGAGCAAGTGATGAATGTTCAGCTGTGTTCAGGGAACTTCAGGATCCATTGTGGACAGACCCAATGCTAAACACAACCTCAGCTTGCCAGGGGTACCCTGAGACTTTGCTGAGAAGAAAGGCTTGTGGGCTAGGGCCAATGGTATGGCTCCACTGGCAAAGCATTCTCTTAGCATGCAGGAGGCTCCTGGGTTCAGCCTTAAGTACTGCAAAGAGAAAAGAAAATGACAGCCATTGAGCTTTAGCTGGGAATGGTGGCTCACACCTGCAATCCCTGTGCTCAGGGTGTTTTGGCAGGAAGACTTTAGGAAGTCAGCATTGGTTACAAAAACAAATCCCACCCCCCACCATACACCCACACATGCATGCACACACCCCCAGAGAAAAGAAGGGTGACTTGTGCCCACTCAAGAGTAGTTCTGATTCATAAGGGCCCCATACCCAGAAATAACCCAAATTGACAATTGGATAAGTAATAGCAATGTGCTCACTCATGCAATGAACACTCTCATAGGTAAGAATCCCAAGGAGTGGCTGTTTAACTCTGCTGATGGTGTTTTTGAGCAGCAAAAACTTGGCCCCCAATCCCGTTCGGCTTTCTAATATATTGAGCTAATCTCAAAGCCCGAGGTCAGAAAAACATTCTCAAAAGATTTCTGGCTTCATCTTTCAGTCTGGCCTGTTCTATCACAAAGAATTTTGCATGTGGTACATGATGGGCATAGTGACATCAAGGTTGATTTATTTAATGTATATTCAGTCTTCCCAGAACTGTGTGGCACGGTCCAACCTTTCTGCATAGGATCAAAGTGATGTCTTTACTGGAAGCAGGTGGTCGTGAGCCTTTGGGGGTTGGTTGTGACCTTTGGATTGTTAAAGGATGTTGATGAGTTGTCTTCTATAGGGGTGGTCCAGTTTATATTCCCACAAACAGTGCGAGTGCCTGTTCACACTCATGCTTTCTACACTTCCGTACAAAACCCTGAGGTGGCCATTCATAGGAGAGGAGGCAGTATTGGTGTTATTTCTGTTTGCTGTTTTTTGTTTGTTGGCTTTTGTTTTTGCTTTTGTTTTATGATACAGGGTCTCTCTGTGTATTCTTGGATGTTCTGGAACTTGCTGTGTAGAGCAACCAGCCTGGCCTTAAACTTACGAAGATCTTCCTGCCTCTGCCTCCCGAGTGCTGAGATTAAAGTCGTGTGCCATCACCATCTTAAAGTTGCTTACTTTTTTCCTTTTTTCTTTCTTTTTTTGGTATTTAATTGAATTAAATTAATATTTTTTTTGACACAGCGTTTCCAGACAGGTGTGCTGGCATGCACTTATGATCCCAGCACTCAGGAGGTAGAAGTCACAGGATCTAGAGTTTAAGGTCATTGTTAGCTATATAGAAAGCTCAAGGACTGCCTGGATTACATGAGACCTGTCTCAAGCAACCAGCCAACCAACCAAACAAACAAAAGAAGGAAAGACATCCTGTTATTCATTTCAGGCTGACCATGAACTCAACAGTTATCCTAGGCTAGCCCCCAAGCTCACAATCCTCCTGCCTCAGCCTCCTGGGTGCTGGCTTCTGTGTTTGCCTTAAGACACAGGTCTGTCTCTATGTGTAGTGGTCCCCATTAAGGCCCACTTTCTGTAAAATACCACACTAGGCTCATGACTAGTCCCAGAGTCCTCTCTTGCCAGGCTAGTTTCCACTCATCTTTTTACTTTTAAACCCTGCCTGGATGATTTTTCCTTGAACCATCGAGCTGGGTTCCATAGATAAAATCACAGTGGATTTCTTTTGTGATTGTGTGGTGGGCAGAGCTTATGATCAAATGTCATAGATGAGATAATCCATGTCCAGTGACAGAAGAGACCAGTCTAGGGCCACACACTACTTCATGAACTGTCCAGCAAAACCCAGTGACTGCTAGTTGAGTGCTTGCTCTGTCCTGTTGAAACAGTGTGGCCTGGGCCATCCAGGGAGCTGGGTGATGTCTGTGCCAGGCCTCAGTGTATCTCAGGGAGCCCTGGCTTAGCTCTGTGGAGGACAGGCTTCTCCAGGGAGGGTTCCTCGGAGGGGAGACTATGAAAAGGGATCATAACAGAAGTGGGAAAGAGTGTCTCAGGAAGGGTCTACATGTTCCTGGGCCTGGAGGCAGTGATGGGGCCTTGCACCAATCCAACCACAGCATGGTCTTTCTTTGCCTGGCACCCCTGGCCATGGCCCTCCCTTGACAATATTTGCTCTTTTCTATGGCAGACAAGGGGATGTGGCCCTGCCCCCTTATTACCAGCCAGAGGAGGATGACGAGATGCCCTTTATCTGCTCCCTGTCGGGGGACAATGGCATCATGGGCTGCCACGAGATCCCCCCACTGAAGGAGCAGGGCCGAGAATGCTGCCTGTCCAAAGATGATGTATATGACTTTGGGGCGGGGCGCCAAGACCTCAACGCCAGTGGTCTCTGCGTCAACTGGAACCGCTACTACAACGTCTGCCGCACAGGCAATGCCAACCCTCACAAGGGCGCCATAAACTTTGACAACATCGGCTATGCCTGGATTGTGATCTTCCAGGTGAGAGCATTCAGACCCAGGACTGGTCAGCAGCCAGCAGCGGGTGGCATGGCTGGCAGCCTCACTCAGCAGGTAAAGTCTTGAGCTGGGCTTTGTCACCCACTCCTTGAGATGTGGCCAACATTCTGGTAGTACAGGCCTCACCCTGCTTTGCAGGCAGAAAACCAAGGTTCGAAGGAAGAAAACATGCCTGCTGGCCAAGGAGTCTGTGGTGACTAAAGCAAATCAATGCACTTGGGCTCCCTCAGAGCCTCTGCTCCTTATAGATGCCCGGGTGGGCTGAGTCAGAGCAGGGAGTTGTGTTCACAGAGGGCAGACGCAGGGCATAGTTCCATTGGAAGGGCTGAGCTGAGCCAAAGCAAGGGCTCACTGTGGTAAGGAAGGTCATTCCTAGAGGGGTGACATGTAGGGCCAAGCTTGGGTGGAGCCTGACTGGCTTGTGTAGAAAATGCTTTCACCCTGTGACCATTGCTTCTGTGATGACCCTGTGCAGATCATTGTGGTTCCTGAACCAACTCCATCTCTACGTTCTTGAGGGGACTAAGCAGGGTTCATTCCGGAAACTGGGGCTGTAGGACACGTGGGTCTTGCTTGGCCTGTCTGTGCCTCAGCTTTCTCCTCTGCATACTGAGTGTACTCTTCATATTGGGCAAACTGTACTAGTGGACTCCCTCCCTTGGGTGCCTGGCTACAAGCCAGTGTGTGAGTGAGGAAGCCAGCCCCTGTGCAGTGGGGGGCTGTCCTCAGAGGAAAGAAGGGAAGGAAGGCCAGACGAGGACAGGGAGGCTCCCACTCTACTCCAGGAAGGACCATATCAGAGATTCAGAGTTGGAAGACAGCTGAACTTGTGCCAAGCACTGTGTTTTGGGTCTCTTGGTTGGTCAGCCCAGAGGGTGGAGGCTACTCTGTGCTTTGCCACAAGCAAGGGTGAGGCTGAGCTAGGAAGGCCCCCGTGCTTAGCCTGTCTTTCCCCGGGTGGCTCCCAGTCTCTGGAGGTCATTGTGGGGGCCAAGGAAGGCAATGGTCAGCTGACCCACCCCTCAGCTCTGCTGGGGGCTATCATCCGTGTACCGGAGAAGTTAGTGAGCTAAAGCCCAGGACTCTCTGCTCCTCCAGCTTGCGTCCCTGCCCCCAGCGGTGGCCCTTTTAGCAAGAGAGGACGGGAGTCCCTGCTCCCCTACTGTCTGGCAGTGTGGTGTTGTGACACCAGCATCTCTTTGAATCTTGGTTTCCTTACCCATGCTGCCCCCTAGCCTAGCCCTTGCTGGGGTGTTTCTTGAGTCCTGGTGCACAGGAGGGCCCGGTGTCTTAGACCCTGCCTGTCCTCGTGCCTGCTGCAGGTGATCACTCTGGAAGGCTGGGTGGAGATCATGTACTACGTGATGGATGCACATTCTTTCTACAATTTCATCTACTTCATCCTGCTCATCATAGTGAGTATCAGGGCGAGCGTGGGACCATGGACCACGGCACCCGACCTGGGTGGGGAGGGAGAGGAGGGACGGGCAGGCCCCAGGGAACCCGCTGGGTTAGAGGAGCCTGGCAAGACAGAAGGCAGCCAGAGGAGTGGGCGACCCATCTCCAAGGAGGGGATGTTTTAAGTGCAGTCAACGAGCCGGTGATCGAAGGTGCTCATCAGGGCTGTGGCTGGGAGCGTCCGTCACATCCTCTTGCCTTCGCGTCTCATCCCGGGACATGAACATCCCCTGTTGATTCTGCTTGTCTCTCTCTGCCCACATCTCCAGGATACATTCTTTCAGAGCCTTAGCTGGGGGCATAGTTCCAGAATGGAGCTTCCCAGGGATTGATTCCATCTGGTCCCCACTTTTCCTGGGGCAGACAAGATGCTTTGACCGGCTGCATGGGGCTTGTTCCTGGGCAAGATACAGGGTAGGAGGTTGGCCTTGGTGGTGTCCTGGTGGAACCCTGGGAAAGTGTTTTGAAGTCTGGATCCTCTGCAGCTGTCTCTGGCCAGGGGATGGAGGCAGCACTTCCTGTCCCTGCAGGTGGCTTCTGCCTCAGTATAACCCACGGAGGTCAGGCCTCTGGGAGAGCTGTGTTCACCCCATAGCATAAAGGCTAAGTTCTCTAGCTTCCTGGCGATGGGCTTGACTCCCTTGAGTAACACCTGACTTAGGAGTTGGGACAGGCTGACTGCTGACCTGAGACATGCCTGATGTAGCTCCAGTGATTTCCTGGGGAGCCGGGGGCCTTGGACTCAGGAGCGAAAGAAACACTGGGTGAAACAAAGAAGGGCGCAGATTTCATTCCTCATCACTGGCTATTCATCAGCTTACTTTCAACAGAACATCCAGGAAAGATGAGCTGAGTTGTGGGGACAGAACAGGGAGCCAGGCCCTGCCCTTCTCCAAGGAGCTCACATTCTGGGAAAGAAGGGCTGACAGGTGACAATGACATACAGAACCTCAGGTATCATGATAGAGAGAAGCCTGTTGAGGCTGGAGGGGCCACTTGGAGGAGAGCAAGGATGTGGGTGACTTCCTAGAGGAAGCAGGAAGCTCTTTCCTCTCCCACAGGAAGACATTTATTCACAGTGCTACTTGAGGCAGGCTCCTCATGGACTCTGTGAGATGGGACAGTGACAACACTTAGTTCCCAGGTGATGGTGAGGGTTAGCTGGGATACAACTGGGAACCTGTATACCCTTGGTATCCCATAAGTGGTCAGTAATGTGCCCTGATGTTATTGGGGTCACTTGAGTCCCAAGATCCCCTGACTCAGGCCAGAGTATGCCATCAGCAGGCTGGTCGGGGTCTTCAGTCTTCACATACAGCTCTCAGCACTCCTCTGGTTAGGAAAGTCCCATACCTACTTTACTTCAGCCCCCCAACCCCCACTTTACAGATGGGGAACAGAGAGGACGAGGGCTGCCTGCATCAACCAAGGGCTACCACTGTTGAGCAAAGACTAGGCAGGAGCCTTACAGGGGTAACCATACAGAGGGCAGAATCTAATTCCTCTGGTTTCTATGTCCCTAACCAGTCACTAACTAGGGGTAAGACAGCTCTGTGGGAAATGCTATGGATAAGATAATGGAGGCAGAGGACTGCTGGCCATCTTTCTGTCTAAGAGGAAGTCTGTTTCCCAGAATCCTCTGGGCCAGGAAGCCCTGTGCACCTTTATAGCTCTTCAGTTGTATGCAATGGGGAAAGAAGGATGAGACAGTGGCTGGGGCAGCCATTTGTATGCACCTGTTGGTGATGTCACAGAAAGCTGGAGACCACGGTCCCTCCTGCCAGGTCTGAGGAGCTCATTTGGGGTTAGTGAGTGTGAGGGGAGGTGGCTGGTACTGAAATAGATGGGGTATAGAGGGGCTACCTGGCTCCATCTCCCCCTCCAAGCACATAGCCAACGTCCAAGACAGTGAGTAGGACTCAGGACCTTTTGTGACTTGAAGGATTGTGCCTTTCCTTTTGGCTTCAGTATCTCTGTCTTACAGGGTGGGTAGTGAGGCCAGGCCTTGGTCCTGATGGGTCCTAGGTTGGATGTAGACCCAGTGTGACCTGGGAAGTCACCTAGGCTATGCCTTCTCCTGCAAGGACTCAGTGATCTTTTCCTGTCCCATCTGTGTCTGTGTTTCTGTCTCTCTGGGCCCCTCCATTTTCCCTGAACCTCTGTCTATCTATTTCCACTCCCAACTCTGTATTTCCCATGTGCCCCCACTTCTGCTCTCTCTCTTCCACCATCCCTCTGTATTCCCAACCTCTCCTCTCTTCTCTTCTTTTTTTCTCTCTCTTCTCCTCTCTCCTCTGCCCCTCCCATTCTCCTTCCTCCCCCTGCCCTTTCTGTCTTTGACTCTGTGCTCTGGCTGTCTCTGTCTTGCTCTCTCTGCTCTGTCTTCTGTCCCCTCTTCTATGTCTCTGGTCTGTCCCCTCCCCCTTCCCCATTTCTGCGGTCTCTGGCCTCCCTCTCTATCTCCTGCTCTTGTTAACTCTTTCTCCATTTCTCTGTCCCCTTTTCCTGTGCCCTCCTGCTGGCTCTACCTCTCTGCTTCCTTGGCCCCACTGTCCCCTATGTCCCTGTCCCTGTCCTTTCCTCCTGTTGGTCACAGGTGGGCTCCTTCTTCATGATCAACCTGTGCCTCGTTGTCATAGCGACCCAGTTCTCGGAGACCAAGCAACGGGAGCACCGGCTGATGCTGGAGCAGCGCCAGCGCTACCTGTCCTCCAGCACGGTGGCCAGTTATGCCGAGCCTGGTGACTGCTATGAGGAGATCTTCCAATATGTCTGTCACATCCTTCGCAAGGCCAAGCGCCGTGCCTTGGGCCTCTACCAGGCCCTGCAGAACCGGCGCCAGGCCATGGCCCCAGGGACACAGGCCCCTGCTAAGCCTGGGCCCCACTCCAAGGAACCCAGCCACTGCAGTAAGTGGACTTGCCTCTGCAGCTCATGTGCCATGGCCTGGGCCTCAGATTGGCAATATTGCAAGTGGTTCATGCCTGCTGGAAAAAGAGGTGTCCACATCAGATGTGGGATCCTAAGGATTCATTTCAGGCTCTGGTATTTTCCTTATGACCTATCCAGGACTCATCTGCTCTGCTCACTCCTTGTCCTATTCCCTGTCCAGCCTGGGCGGGTTAGCCCTCTCCCTCGAGAAATTCTTCCAAGTTCTGCAGGCAAACTTGGGCACCACTACCTTGAACCTACACTTGAAAGTCAAGTGCACAGTGATTTGTTCCCAGCCTCGGAAGACTAGCTTCCCACTTTGTGACCACTCACACCATCTCCCACTGTTTCCCATGGCTGTTTCCTGCTTACCAGCACACCTGAGTAATGACAACAGGGCCCTGGCACATGGGCAGTTCATGTCACATTGGGGCCCTCATCCCCATACTCTGCTTCTGCCTCAGGCTTGGGTGGCACTAGGCTGTTTGTGTAAGTTTGGTGTTTAGCTTAGAAAGGATACTCTAGGCTAGTAATGTAGTACAGTTGCTAGTGTGCTTGCTGAGCAAGTGTGAAAACTCTAGGTTCAAGCCCCATGGGGCAGGATGGTAATCCTGGTGCTCGGGACATAGAACAGGAAGATTAGAAGTTCAAGGGCATTCTTAGCTACATAGTGAGTTCAAGACCAGGTTGGGCTACATGTGACCCTGTTGCAAGGAGAGAGAAATGGAAAGATGGAGAGAGAGAGAGAGAGAGAGAGAGAGAGAGAGAGAGAGAGAGAGAGAGAGATTTAACCTGTTTTTTTTTCAAGAAACAGCCCCGAGAAGGGGCAGACTAAAAATAGTGTCTCCAGTTTTCAGAAGGGAAAACCAAGGTCCAAGGAGATGAGCGAGTCACCTAAGTGGTCTGGTGTGTCAATGAAAGTGCAGTCACATGGATTGTCAGAGGTTCTGGGCCTTGCTGAGTGTCTGTCTCAAGCTGCAAATGTACCCAACCCTAAGTGGAGGCCACCCAGGCTACCAGGAGACTCCAGGTTTAGTTCACTTTCTCCCAGCTGGTGTTGAGAAGTTGGCAGACCCTGGGATTGTTCCTTGGAGCAGCTGAGGAGCATGGCATGTCCTGTTCCCCTTATAAATTGAACACCACGGTGCTACCCATCTCCTTCTCCAGAGCAGGGCTCAAAGGGATCTACTAGTGTGTGCCTGTGAGTGACAATATTTATTGCCTGAGGCCCTGGCTGGTGAACTCCAGGTCCCTTATCCTGCCAGTTAGAGACTGGTAGAGACCAGACAGTTGCCCACTGTCCATAGACACTAGCCATCTAGATGTGGCTCCAGGTGGCCTGTGGGATGGAAGAGGAGAGCTGGTGTCTGGTGTCTGGGCAAGGCTATCTTGAACTTCCCTTGGGGTGAGCTTCTTGCTGTTGCTACCACCCTTGTTCTGGAACTCCGTGGAAGATGTTTCAGCTCCGACACCACCTGCCCGCTTCCCCAGGTTTCCGTACCTTCTCCTTTTCCTGAGTCTGGTGGTGTGCTGAGCTGGGCTTTGAGCCTCCAGCCTGGAGTGGGATGGCTCAGGTGTCTGGTTGCTTTGCAGTATTTGGAGGCTGATGTGGAAAAATGAAGGAGTTCCTACATTTCTTTCCCTTTAGTGATTTTTTTCTTTGTCTTATTCAAGCAAAATATGTTTGTGTTACTATAATATAGGAAAGTATAAAGAAGAAACCACCCTGGTGTGGTGGCACATGCCTTTAATACCAGTACTTGGGAGGCAGAGGCAGCTGGATCTCTGAATTTGAGGCCAGCCTGGCCTATGTAGTGGGTTCTAGGACAGCCAGGGCTACACAGAAAAAAACCAACCAACCAACCAAATAAATAAATAAATAAAAGAAATAAAAAATAAAAAGAAGAAATCAAACTAGCTAGAAAGAAGCCTTCTGATACCTCTTTGAATTTGCTTACAGATCCAAGGCTAGCCCAGGGGTTGAAAGTTAAGGTGTGAAGAGACACCATGACCTTGGCAATTCTTATAAGAAAAACATTTAATTGGGTTGGCTGACTTACAGTTCAGAAGTTTAGTCCATTGTCATCATGATGGGGAGCCTGGTAGCAGGCAGACATGATGCTGGCTACATCTTGGTCAGAAAGCAAGAGGAAGTTGACTGAAATACTAGCTGTATTCTGAGCACAGGAAACCTCAAAGCCCACCCTCACAGTGACACACTTCCTCCAACAGGGCCACACCCACTCCAACAAAGCCACAGCTCCTAATAGTGCCACTCCCTGAGATTATGGGGGCCAATTAATTCAAACTACCACAGACCCCATCTGCTGTGATCCTTCCTGCCCCTGCCCCTGTCTAGTCTGACTCTTGTATGGAGGGAAGTCCTGGGAACCTCTAGAGGAAGAGCCTGACTCTGTCTGGGGCTGTGCCTCCTCCCTGAGAACTTCACACAGATAGGCAAAGTGGGGATGCCAAAGCCACCAGAGCTTCCTCTGAGGGAAGTCTACTTTCTATTCAGACCTGCAGTTCCCAGATTCCCATAACTGTGCCTGGGAAGGTCTGTTGAGTGACTGACCCAAGGTCAAGGTCAAAGGTGACCAGAAGTTAGCAAGGATTGAGGTGCCAGGCACTGGATGAGCCTGCCACATGTTTAATGAAGGCAATCATCTCATAACTTTGTTAGGTGGGCACTCCCATTTCAGCTTCTGTACAGGGACAAAGCCTGGATGGAGATAATATATTTCCCCACCAGGTGGGGTCCGCTTGTTTCAGGTAGTGTCCCTCGGGGAGCTGGTTTGGACACTAATGCTGCCCTCTGTTTGTTTTTCAGAGCTGTGCCCACGACACAGTCCCCTGGACCCCACACCCCACACTCTGGTGCAGCCCATCTCTGCTATTCTGGCCTCTGACCCAAGCAGCTGCCCACGCTGCCAGCATGAGGCAGGCAGGCGGCCCTCGGGCATGGGCAGCATGGATTCAGGTCAGGAAGGCTCAGGCTCTGGTGGCTCTGCAGAAGGTGAAGCTGATGGGGTTGGACCCCAGAGCAGTGAGGATGGAGCCTCCTCGGGCTTGGAGAAGGAGGAGGAACAGGAGGATGGGGCGGCTCGACTGTGTGGTGACGTGTGGCGAGAGACACGAGCCAAGCTGCGGGGCATCGTGGACAGCAAGTACTTCAACAGAGGCATCATGATGGCCATCCTGGTCAACACTGTCAGCATGGGCATTGAGCACCATGAACAGGCCAGTCAGAGTACAGGGCTTGGGCCAGGTTGGGGGAGAGGGAGAAGCAGGCCAGTGTGGAGCACTGAGTTCAGGTCAGGCAGGGGTGGAGGGGCACACCCAGGCCAGACTGAGCCCACTCCCACATCTATCTCTGACCCTGGCTAGAGTAGAGTCCAATTCTTCCGTGTGGCTTCCAGGCCTTGCCTGAGACAACACTCAGGACAGATACTCTTGGGTGTCTGTAGAATGAATGGATGATGAGTGTGGCTCATCAGCATAGGACTTCATGGGATTTGGACTCAACTCAGGGGCGGCCTGCTTCTTTTCCCCCTAAGCTGCTCGGAAGCCTGCAGTCCATAGGGCATGCCTTCGGTAACAGCCTGTCAAATCCTGGCTCCATTTGGAGTAACCCCGTTTCCTGGCTCCTATCCACTAGTCCTTTTTAGAGTTTGTGGCTTCCTTGGCCTGCTCCTCAGTCTGGTGGGGCACCCCCACTTGCCACCTGGCTATGCCAGGCCCACTGACCTGAAGTCCCACAGATAGCCAGCAGCTGGGCTTGAACCCACCTACTGTGGCAAGAGTGACACCCCAGCAGGAATTGGATTCTGAGCCCCCTTGGCTGTGGTGTCACCATCATTCTGCAAAGCTCTCCCCCTGTGCCTAGAGAGGCCACACTCTTCATTTCTCTGCTCATTAGCTCACCAAGCACAGGCTTCATTCAATTTAGTTAAATGTGGCCCCTGGGGCTGCCACCAACACTCAGTTGGTACTGTAGGTTTGCCAGCTATTCTGACTTAATTAAAAAGATCTTTGGGGAAGGCTGCTGGGTGGGATCTCTGCAGGGGAAGCTGGTGAGAGGAGAGGACTGTCCTTTGCCTGGAGGCCCCAGACTGTCAGAATGCAGAGACCCAGCTGAAGGTGCTGTGGGAGGGGCTGCTATTGGGCGTCTGGCTCTGGTGTCTCTACCCTGCTACACCAGAGTCTCTGTCTTGTGAGAGCCAATTTTCTCACACTTGGGAATTTATCAAGCAGTTGTTAAATAGTTGCTTGTTTGAAATGGAAATTGGCAGATGCCACAAATCAGTGCTTCTTTTCACTGGTTTATCTGAACCCCACTAGTCTCCACCTTCTTGAAGCCCCTCCACGGCAACACCACAGCCAAGGCTGCTCTTCTTTGGTCCTCCAGCTTGAGCTCAGGCCAGCCATGGCCCCTGAATGAGTCTGCTTAGGGTTTTGTCTGGCTTATCTCTTGTCCCTGCCACATTCCACTTGAGCAGGCTTACTTTCTTTACAAAGTTGTTTTGAGCTGGGCACAGTGGCTCACACCTTTAATCCCAGCACTTGAGTGGCAGAGGCAGGTGAATCTCTGAATTTGAGGCCAGCCTGGCCTTCAGAGCTTGTGCTTAGACAGCCAGGGTTACTCAAGAAACCCTGCCTCAAAAACAACAGCAACAAAAGCCATTTTTTTTATTACATCTTCACCCATTGAGCCACCTTGTTGGGCTAACTGTTGGAGCTTCTTCCATTGGTGCAGCAGAAGGCATGTGGTGCTGCAGTTACCTCTTACCTGGAGTCTCCACGGGGCTGGAAAAGGCTCCTGTCAAGTGTAGGGTCTACCCTGATCTCCTCATCTGCAACCTCAACTGAGAGATGTCTCTCTCTGAGACATGACACTTACTGGGAACTTAGTAAGCTCCAGGCCTAGAGAGAGTGTCCCTGAGTCCTCACAAATATTTTCCAAGCTAGTGTCTGTGACATGAGCTTGTAGGTTAAGATATCTTTATTCAAATAATACCAGCCAAGTGCAGGCCAGAGCATGCCCAGAGGCAGCAAGCTAGGGAGGCCAGAGAAAGAGAGAGATCCCATGTGTCCCCGCACCTTAAGGACCCCCTGATCATCCCCTGACCACACCCTGACAGGCGTGGTTAAGCACACCTGTAGCCAGCCCTTAGGAGGCATGGTGGTTACGGTGTCTCCCTACAAGTGTCACAGCTTCCTGTTTTCACACTTGGAAGGCCACTGCTCAGAGATCATACTCTTCATTCATGGCTTGGATTCCACCCTTGATTCTGCTGCTGATGGACAGGGTAGCCCTGGGAAAGTCACACGCTTATCTAGCTAGTGTCTCTATCTGCAGATAAGCCAGACAATTTCCCCACCCCCCCACACACACACACACACACACACACACACACACACACACACGGTGTTTGGGAAGGGCAAGCATGTGAATTCTGGTTGTCTAGTAGGCATTCATGACTCCATCACTACTAGAAGGTCTTTTGTTTGAGCCTTCTGCCACCAGCCTGGGTTAGTTTACCATCTACTGTCTGGAGCCTCAAAAATTAATTAAAGAAGAAGCAAGGAGGAGGAGGCATTTTTAACCATTCTTTTTAAAGCAGTACCGAGTGGCAGCCATTGTTCAGCGGAGCTCTGTGCAAGGCCTGCTGGTATTTTTGTTCCTCGCCCTGGGCTCTCAGACATCTCTCTCCGGGAAACTGATCCGCCCCCAGGTTTATTTTGAGCATCCCCCACTGAGGTGGCACCCACAGTGAGAGGTGGCCCAGGGCTGCAGATGGCATGCAAGGAAAAAGGGGAGAGTGTCACAGGTCCTTTCTCCCTGACTCCACAGGGCCCTGCACTCGACCCAGGCTTGCAGAGAACTCTGTGTAACACTTGCATGGGGACAGGTGGTGAGGTCCTGGCTTGTTACCCCTGCCTCCCTAATTATAGGGAGCTCAGTAAGATGCTTACAGCCTTTGCTTCTCAAATAATGGAGGGCCATCAATATGAACAATTTCCTTGTCCAGGCTCATTATGGCTGTGGATATTCCTTGTAAAGGCTGACCTGGAAGGAGGTCACAGGTGAAAGGATGTCAGCCGGTCATGGACTTACACGTGTCTCATGAAGAGAGAAATAATGCCCAACAAGGGCAGGGTGTGTCTTGATGGCCGATTGCTTGCCTAGCACATCCCCAAAAGACCTGGGAGACTTGAGAAGACCACACCCTTTGGGTAGTGTCTGGTTGAATTGTGGGACCATAAAGAGAGTCAGGACAACTTTGCCAGGCTTCATCTTCACAGAAGCCCTGGAGGGCAAGCTGGCTATGTATCTCATGTATGGGCAAGTGGGGAAACTGAGGCAGGTGACTAGGCTGCCCAGGTGACCTGGCAAGCAGTTATCAGGGCATGCTCTGGGATGCAAAGGGCATCTATGGATGATCACAACAGAGTTGGGGCACAGGCAAGGAAGACACTCGGAGTAGCCCCCGTCAGTGTTTCCCTGACTAGACCTTGGACTCCTCTCAAGCTGGGCAGGGCCACCCTGAAGCCTCACCTTGACCTCAGTGAAGGCCGGTTAAGGTGGCAAGTGAAAAGTAAAGGCTTGTATGGAATAGGCACCAGGCGAGGGGGTCCTCCCAGACTTAGGGCTGCCCCACTCCGGGATGTAGAACCATCCCAACTCCCGGGGGATGTGTTCTTGGCCTCCCCAGTCGTGGGTGACTCAAAGCTCATTGGGTAGCTCCTGTCAAATAATCCAGGCTTTGGGGAAAAAGAGGATTATGGGATGGTTTAGTGTCTGACATTTTAACTCTGTGAGGGGAGAGAGAAGAGAGAGAGAGAGAGAGAGAGAGAGAGAGAGAGAGAGAGAACCTACAACCAAGGAGGGCTTCCTGGAAGAGATGACACTGAGCTGAGGCTGGATCTTGAAGGATGACCATGAGTCATCAGTTAGAAAGACAGGTACAAGGGAGGTGCAGGACCCAGAACTTCCAAGAAGGTGTGTGCAAAGGGTGTGGTGGACAGACCATGGGGCAAGCAGGGCTGCTTATCCACTGAGGGTTTCAAGAATACTTCTGTCCTCAGTGCAATGGGGAACAGGGAAGGCTTGTAAGCAGGAGAATACTATGTCTGCTGAACAAACTTCTTCTAAAATGTGTCCTTGCGATGGCACCTGGTTCACAGCAGAGGGCAGAGACATGACTCCAAAGTGGACTCCATCTTGGCCTGGTCACAACTTTGACCCTGAGCAGTCACTTCTATCTGAGCCACATGTTTCCTAACTATTAAACGGGGACAGTGTAGGCAAGATTGAAGCTTAGATGATAAGTGCCTAGAACGTGCTTTGCATGACTGCCCCGGGGAGGAACACCTGCTACCATTGTCACCATGGCGCTAGGCTTTGCTTGAGGGGTTCTGGACCTCTGCATGTCCTTTTATCTACCCCTGTAGAGGTGGTCAAAGACTGGACAGCCTGGGGCTGCTAAGCCCAGCATTGGGCCAGGATGAGCTCCCTGTACTTCTAGATGTAAGCTGCAATTTTCTGACATGGACTACTTGCTCTTTCACAGGGTGCATGTTAGGCATCCCTGTTAGATTTCTCACTGTCTGTCTGTCTGTCTGTTTGTCTGTCTGTCTGTCTGTCTGTGACTTTTGTGTTGTCTTT